TTTGTTCATAAAAAAATAAATATAAAAGATGATTCCGCCCCAAGGATTAAACAACTGTGCATGTGGAAAGTTAGGATACGCATCAATTTTGTGGTTGATAGAATTTATAGACCCACCAGCGAAATAGGATTCTCTAAGAGCCATTAATTAATGAATAATAACATCCAATGAAAACTTCGCTAATGGTACGATTCTCTGTTCGTTTTGCTTTCGCTTAAGAGAACCACAAGTTTTATTACAAATGTCACATTTGGTGAAATGGGAGAAAGCTTACATTCGAGCTTGTTTAAAGCCCTTTTAGTTATCGAAACTCGTTAAGGACTTGAGATCGAACTCTTTTAAAGCCCGCGTCTTAGTTATCCTGGCTTGTTAAGACTTAAAAAAAATAATGTAATTTTCAAATAACTAGATTTGTCAAAAATCGTGTTTGAACTGTTAATATTGATAAAGGAGCCGAGTTTGAACACGTGTAGTAACTAAGCCAAGCTTGAATTCGTTGCCCTAACTTGAATAGAAAAATAATAATACCACAGGTCTTGTGTGTTAGACTACCTAATAGTTAGTCAGCTATATTTTTCAACAACACTACATGCTTTTACACTCAAATATCATATTATAAATTAAGATAAAGACAAAAGTATGATATTTTTATTAATAAAAAAAATATTTTTCATGAGTAATAATAATAACAGTGATGGTGGTGGTCATGAAGGTATGTGGGCCGACGATGAAAGGGCAACCGCTCTTATAATATTTTCTGTTGATAGAGAATGAAAGATGTGATGAAAGATTTTTATTTATTTGATCATTGCTATAAATGTATGGCCATGAATTTGGACGTACCATAAAAATTGTATGGTAACTATAAATTGAGGCCCATCCAAACACCACTTCCACTCGTAGATGGGCCTACGTTTCATTACCCATACACGTCAACAAAATTAACTCGAAGATATTTCTCTCTATAAATTGGCGTCATTTTATTCCCTCCAATTTCATCCCACACAGCCTTACTCACACTCTCTCCTCAGTTCAGTAACTAAAAACAAGTCAAAATATATTGACCACACCAAAATTATATAAAAATTTAGATTATGGAAGATCACGCCTCCAAATCCGTAGCAATTACAGCCCTCACACTCCTCACTCTAATCTACTCCGCCGCCGCGGCCGGCGGCGGCAGCACACAGTTCATCCGGAGGTCGTGCTCCGCCACCACCTACCCGGCCCTCTGCTACTCCACCCTCTCCAGCCACGCCAGCGCCGTACAGCAAAGCCCCCAACTCCTGGCCCACGCGGCACTCTCCGTCAGCCTCGACACGGCCCGGGCCACGTCCGCCGACATGGTCAGGATCTCCCGACGGGCCGGGCTGACGGCCCGAGAGTCCGGGGCCATGGCGGACTGCGTGGAGTTGCTGGGGGACACCGTGGACCAGATCCGGAAGTCCCTGGCGGAGATGAACGGGTTCAGGGGCGGGCCGGGCTTTGAGGCCATGGTGAGCGACGTGCAGACGTGGGTGAGCGCCGCCTTGACCAACGAGGAGACGTGCACGGACGGGTTCGCCGGGGCGTCCATGAACGGCGCCGTCAAGGAGGCGGTTCGGGAGCGGATCGTGAATGCGGCCCATGTGACGAGCAACGCGTTGGCTCTCATCAATAGCTACGCGGCCGTTCATGGTTAAACAGTTTTCACTCAAAAAATTTATTAATATAGGTTATATTTATAAGATTTATAAGAATCGGTAATTTTTTTTTTAAGTCTGCGTGTTGCTATGATTAGTGTGTTTAGTTTCTTTTAGTGAGAATATGATAGTTTGTGCTTGTGTCCCTAATTAAGAATTTGTATGTGGAATTAAAGTGTAAATGTTTTTATTTGTATTATTAATTTGAAAATTTAATATGAGGAGTTTGATATATTATTTACTTATACATATTTAAAATAGCTAATATATACTAGTTAAAAAATGCTAATATCTCTCTCAGTTAAATTGGTTATGGTTATTGGTACGACCTAATAACTCATCCTTTCTTACTTTCCATAATCAGAATACGATTACTAATTATTTCTTTAATCAACAGACAGTCCTAGATACGATAATATGATTTAATTTATCAACAACATTGAAATTTAGAAGGACCACCAATTTTAACCAACAAACACACATGTAGGATCATTTAGATTAGATCGTATATCTACCTAAACATAAAATCAAAAACCCTTAGCAATCAACTATGTTCTCTGCCACCAATATTAGAACAATCAAACAATTATTGATTTAATGTCCTAAATGGCGATACGCTATTCCGGTAATTGAACAAAGAGCTCTTTTTTGCATCAATCAACCAAAATAGCAATTGATAATAAACACAAGAGAAATACGAATAAAAGTGAATAGGGAACTCAAAACTCATTAAATCTCACAAATCATGTAGAACCAATTCATGAATAATCCTTTGGCTGGAAAAATAATTTAGCTATCCATAAACATGGTAGTCTTCTCCATCATATTCATCCTAAAAATAATAAAGATAGTAGAAATAATAAACAGTAGAAAAATTCTTATTCTGTCGTGCGTCCTGTTGAAAAGCAGATCGGCCAGATAGATCACAGATCAATAAATAAAACGTCGACAGGGAAGAGAAGAAAGAGAGAGGTGAGAGAAAAATAATACTTCGCTGTCTAATTTTCAATTTAATCCTGATCCTAGAAAAATACGTAAAAAATAATATTTTCTTTCCAAAATATCCTAATAAATTAAAATAGTCCTTAAATAAATAAAAACTCCACAAAATCTTTTATTTCTCTTTCCAACTTGAGACTCTTTCCTTCTTCCAACTATTTTAGGAAATTAGCGTGCCTACGCCTTAGCTCAAATTTGTCTATTTAGGCCTCCAATCATCATAAATTCCAAATTATGAGATATCCTACAAAAATTATTGAAATTAATTAAAATCAATAATTAATGCTCAAATAAACACCGAAAAAGTATGGAGAACATGACAATTAACATGCCAAGAATACGACTTATCATAAAAACATATTTTCAAATAAGATCAAATCAAATATGATAAAAAATATTGTTTCGTTAAATAATTTTATTAATATCTGGAATAATTCATTGATATCTATTATATAAATTACAAGATTGATTTTTCGTGATTCATGTTGCTAATATTTTGATCAAAATAAATATTACAATATATTTTATGTTCTAATAATAATATTTTTTTTTCTCAAATATTTTTTTTTATCCAAAAAAATTATAGAAAATCGTAACAGATTAGGTAGATTTTTTTATTTTCCAATTAGTCAGGCGAAATCATATCAGTAAATTATTGTCTACCAATATAATTGTTTCTTAAGCTTTATTTCGTTATATATAAAAACTAAATTATTTTTCGAATTAATATAATTTATCATTAAAGAGGTAATGACCAGATATATTAAATAATTTTACTAATGGTCAAAAATTAAAATTGGAATATATTAATTATTCTTCAGAATGTATTTGTATATTATTGTCAAATGATCATTCTTTTTATCATTTTTTTATTTCTTTTCTATAATGAAAATGTTGTAAATTATATATTCATTGCAGAGTATGCTAAATAAGCTATAAATCCTTATGCAAATTAGAAAAAAAAAATCTTAATTATAGAAGGGATGGGTTTTTGGCATTTTCTAAATCAATGTTGTTTAATTAGTATAGAAAACTAAATTCTAGAAAACATGTATGTATATTTTGAAATATATTTGATACACTATTTAATTTGAATTTTATTTATATATTTTTAATTGATTACATAAATAAATAATAATAACGTGCATTTAATATTTTTCACTACATAAAATAAAAAGAAAAAGAAGACATATAACTTGTATAAATAATAATGACAGTATTTGACAATAAAGTTTATAATAAAATAATAATTAAGTATTATATGATCAACAAGAATAAGTAAATTGCTATTTTTTCTTATATCAGGGAATAAATATTTATACTAAAAACAAATATATATCAGTATAAATGTGTTAGTGAGATAATATATTACATTTAATATTCTAACTAAAAAAATGCTGATTAAAAGATGTGAAAAAACAAATTATAATTTTATTGTTATTTAGAATTAACGCTAATTAAAAGAACCAAAAATTAGAAAATAATCATATTGTTTTTTATACTTAAACGAAAAGAGCCTGTAAGATTAATTC